GAAAGGAAGGCCGGGACCAGATCAGACCAGATTTTCAAATGGAAATGTGGAGAATTCCTGAGACAAATATTCCAGATGGAACAATTGTATCATTCCATTAGGAAGGGCTGGGTGATCATCTCCCAGATTTCTCTTCTCTGGGGTTGTGGTGGGGTTGGTGGCTGAGAATGCTGGTATATAGTAATGCTTGGAAAAAGGAGCCTTGTTGGCACAACAGTTAAGTGCTCAGCAGCTAACTAAAAGGTTAGAAGTTCGAACCCATCTAGCAGCTCTGCAGGAGAAAGACTTGGTGATATGCTCCCATAAAGATTACAGCCTAGAAAATCTATCGGGCAATTCTACTGTATCACCTGGAGTCACTATGAGTTGAGTTTGACTCAACAGCACCTAATAACAACAACAATGCTTGGAAAAGCTATGAAACCTGCCCAAAGAGCACCAACATCCACTGATTTTACCTTTCTCTGCACCAGCCCGTAAGAGTGGGTGGGAGGGTGGGTGACCTGGGAACAGCTGGTCAGACTAGGCCCTGGCCTGGGTAGAAAGGGATGTGAGCTCGCTTACTTTCCTCCTGATGTCAATCCTAGTACACTGTGGCTACCTGGGATACCTTTGACCAAGGGTACCTGGATTCACTAAGAGAAGGCCTTTGGCTCACTGGGCCATCAAGCTCACATGATGGAGAACTGCAGAAAAAGATGGGCCTTCACCATTTCAGAAAATCTAGCAGCTGATGACTCCGGAGTCCCCACTTCCTTTCTCTTTTGTACAGAGACCTGAGCTAAATAACAAGATGGATAATGGGAGAAGAGACACTTGATCCACCAATGTCTAGCTCTACCCTTCCTAGGCCTGAAAGATAATAGATGATGTCTTTTGAATATGAGGAGGGGCGTGTGTGAACTAGGTCAGAGTCCCAAAGACTTTTTTCTGTAAAGGGCCAGATAGTAAATATTTTAGGCTTTGTGGGCTACGTACCTAGAGCCCTAGTGGTGCAGTGGTTAAGAGCTCAGCTGCTAACCAAAAGGTCGGCAGTTTAAATCTACTAGTTACTCCCTGGAAACCCTATGGGGCAGTTCTACTCTGTCCTATAGGGTCGCTATGCTTGGAAAAAGGAGACTTGTTGGTGCGACGGGTTTGATTTTTGGGTTTTTTTTGAGCCCCATACAGTTTTTGTCTTACATTCTTCCTTGTTTTTGTTTCTTACACCTCTTTAAAAATGTAAGAACCATTCTATGAACCCTGAACTAGACTACTTTGCTCTGACAAACTTCAAACTACAGCTACTTAATCCACATTAAGCACTGAGTAAACATCTTTTTAATCTCTTAAAGAGTGCTATAACTTTTATCTGAATCCACATCCCCCTCCACACCTTCTCCCAGATCCCCATCCCCATCCCCATCCCCATCCACACCCACATTCTCATTTCTATTCCCATATACACCCACATTCCTATCCACATCCGCATCCCCCACCCACACCCACATCTCCATCTATACCCACACCGCCATCCACTCCCTCATCCCTATCCCATCCACACCCACATTCCCATCTCCACTCCCCTTCCCATCCATATCCTCATCCACATTCCCATCCTCATCTGCATCTCCATCCACATCCCTATCCACACCCATATCCATGTCTACATTCTCATCTGTACCCACACCTGTATCCCCATCCACACCCACACACCCATTCCCATCCCCATCCCCATCCCTATCCACAGCCATATCCACATCTACATTCTCATCTACACCCACACCTGCATCCTCATCCTCATCCATACCCGCATTCTCATCCCCATCCACACCCACATTCCCATCCCCATCCCCATCCCCATCCCTATCCACACCCATACACACATTCCCATCCCTGCTCCCATCCCCATCCCCATCCACACCCATACCCACATTCCCATCCCTGCTCCCATCCCCATCCCCATCCACACCCATACCCACATTCCCATCCCTGCTCCCATCCCCATCCTCATCCACACCTGCATTCCCATCCCCATCCACACTCACATTCTCATCCCCATCCCCATCCCCATCCCCATCCACACCCACACCAACATTCCCACCCCCATCCACAACCACATCCATATCCCCATCCCCATCCATACCCACATCCTCATAACCATTCACACCCACATCTCCGTTCACACCCACACCCTCATCCCCATCTCCATTCACACCCACACCCTCATCCCTATCCCCATTCACACCCACACCCACATCCCCATCCTCACCCCATCCCCATCTTCATCCCCATCCACATCCGCATTTTGCAGCTAGAAAATGGAAGGTTGGAGAGCTCACGTAACCCATCCAAAGCCACATGGCTAACAAACGATAGAGGCAGGATTTGAACCCACGTAATCTGATTCCAGTGTCACTGGTTTTAACCACTACGCTATACTATTCCCCACTAGTGATTAGAGATATGGCTTTGCATATATTCATTTCTCTTTTTGGGTCACATCCCCCATCTGCACAGTAAGAGGAGTGGAGTCAACAAGTGTTTTCCTACTTCAGAGAGACATACCAGATGGTATGTGACATAATTTAGATGGTTCACACACAGAGAATTAAATAATATTGATTCACACAGTGAGAAAAATGATTGCCTTTTCTTGTCTCTTTCAAGTCTTCAAATCATGTCAGAGAAAAAAGCTCAGTCTGATGCTATGGAATCTTTAACATCTCTCCGACATGTGCTAATTTCCATTTTTACAAGAAGGGTAGACATCAAGGCTCGGGGTTTCAGTAGGCAGTGATAGCTAGCTAGAATTTTTTAAATGTTACATCTGCTTTTTGTCTGTTAATGGTCCACTGGGCACATATATCGGTTATTTAATAAATAAAGTTTTACAAAGTTCAATTTATTAATCATTCTTTTATTTAACCAGTATTTTTTGGTTGTTGTATTCTTCTTGTTACTTTCTGCTGTTGCTTTATTTTTTTTATTGTTTTTATGATTGATTTCTATTTATGCAAAATGTTAGTGTTGCCATTGCCACAATTCTCTAGTCCATTCTTTGGTAGTTGTAAGATGGCTACTAAAGCTGCTACTATTACATTCATGCCCAAATTGGGACACGGGGGAAGGGCAGGTCTCAGTCGCTTCTGTCCCCTCTTATCAGGAAAGCAAGAGAATCCCATATACGCTGCATGTCACATGGCCACCTCAGCAGCAAGAGAGGCTGAAAACGTGGCTGGGTGCATTTTCACCTGAACCAACCAGGGTTCTATCAGCCAGAAATGGGCATAGATCTTGGGCTGTGTAATAGGAAGTGTTTGCCATAGTCTGGGAGTCCACTGAGTCTTCTCCTCAGTGCCTTTGCAGAAGCAGAGTTGCTGGATAATTTTGGGAATTTAGCAACAAGCTAATTTCTCTTTTCTTTGCCTGAAGACACCACTGCCCCCACACAGCCCACAACAGTGCAGTCTAACACTGCTTATTCATCCTTTCCCCAAAGGAACAACAGACAAGGAAGGATAATATCGTCAGACTTGTACACAGTGGTGAGAAAACCATATGAGCTTGTCCCTGTTGGCAACTATAGCTCAAAGGGCTAAGATGAAAAGCCCTCACCTTTCCTGTCTCAAGTGTATAGAAGATGTATTTTCTCACCTGTATATACCTCCAAATATGTACCCTACAAGCTAGATTTGAAACCTTATAAAATCTCAGTCTGTGTGTATCTTTCTTACTACTTCAAAACAACTTCAAAGTAATGCTTTAATCCAATAAGCATTTAGTGGAAGCCCACTATGCCCCAGGCACATTCCTAAGTGGTGAGAATTTAGGGGTAAACTTTATTCTCAAGGCCCCACGGAGGTATATCCTGGTGGGAGAGGTGGACTTTTAAAAACAGTCAGAGAAGGAGGGCAGGGGGGTTAAGTGCTGGACCCGAGAGCCAGACTTCTGGGGTTGAGTTCAGATTCTGCTGTTTCTTGGCTGTGTGGCTTTGGGTAAATTATTTACCTCTCTGTGCCTTAATTTCCTCATCTATAAAATGAAGATAATAAGAGCACCTGCTATTATTATCAGGGCTGCAACATGTAGATCACTTTCTGGTCCATAGTGATAAACATAGCTCCATTAAAGGGCCGAGATGCTAAGATACAGACAGTGCTTTAAAAGGCAAAAAGGGGATGACAAATAGTACTTACCTCATTTGGTGGTTGTACAGATTACCTGGGTTAATTCACATAAAGTAATTAGAATAGTAGCTGACGTGTAGTAAGTGCTTAGTAAATGTTAGCTGTTATCCTATTTCAAGCACTGAGCTTTTACTTGATGTCACACAGTGCTCCATAAATTCTCTAATGGTCCTAAGGGATCCTCAAGGTCACTTTAACAGGCACTGTTGCTGCCCTCAGAGTGCTTACGGTTGAAGATTTTGCTGCTTCAGAGACTTGTACGAAAGACTACTTCACAGATACACTTGCGTGAGTTGGGGAAACTGGTCCCAGGCATGAAAGGTCTTTTTAAGACTTGGGGACAAAGTAGAGTAAGACTGAGGTTGCAATTACTAAGACAGAAACCTGACAGACAAAAGTATCCTACAACATCACTTGTCTCCCTCAGCCCCTAGCCCTCCCCTTCATGGGCACCCATGACTGGCTATTGTATCAGCATGTCAAGAGGGAAAATACAGACCTGGCCTTTCATGGAAAATAACTCTCACAACCAGAATCCCTGCCTTAAAAAAAGTATGGTTTTAAGATCTTTGACGTTTCCTGCAGCTTGTCAGTATTTTTTGAAGAGCATCTTTTCTGAGGACTGATATTTCCTAGCACAATGTAAAGTTGTCTTTGTCAAGTGACTCAGTTTGTTTTTTGGTTTTTCAATATCAAGTGGCCAAAACTTACAGAGAAAAAGTGGGCCCTTGGTATCAATTTGATGTTAGGGTTTTTCCATGTTTGTAAAGGAGCTTTAAATACGGCTCGATTCAAAGGTGCCTGCAGGTCGACCTCCAACCCCTTGTAAAGATGTTGCTGACCACTGTCCTTGCTTCTGCCCTGTTCATCTGCTCCACAGCTGGGAAGACGTGCTTCAGCTTGTGGGGGGTCAGGGACGTCAGCTACCTCATCCAAAAGCTGCAAGTAGGTTTTGGAGGTGGTGCGGGCTGGGGTAGACAGCTATTGAAAATATAAGTGAAATATAGGAGGATGAAAAACTCATCACCCAATATGATTCCTTGTCTCTTTATCTACATTAGGAACATCCGACTTCCCAATGCAGCTGCAGCACCAGTGTGAGTAAATCCTTTTTAAAGAACCTTTCCAACTAATTTTCATTTTCACATCTAGAATCTTCATTCTGAAAATTCTCTCTTGCAGGTAACTGATGGTTTGTGTCTTCCCGTCCCGTCTGTAAGTATAGTAAAAGAATAAAACCTTCACCTTGTTTTTAAGTAAAAATAAATTGCTTTATTTTCTCTTTTAAGTAAGAATGTGTTAATTGTTACTGTTACAGGTTAATATGCTCTTTTAAAATCAGCTTCCTGAAATTCTAGACTATATAAGTTTCTATGTCCCTAGAGAAATTTGAACACTTTTCAATGTTTTAAAAAGAAGCTTGACTATCTTTTTAGATTAGTGGCATGTGCAAAATTAAATCAAACTGGAATGAAGAACATGATAAATTATATAGCTCATATCATATTGCTTTCTAATCGATTTGCCAATAACTCTAGGGCTGTGAAACAATGTAAATAAAATGCCAACCCTTTATCTTTCATGTAGCACAAACTAAGCCTGCCTGCTTTTCTATGTGCTATACCTCCTTCCGTTTCTCCCTCTCTCCCTCCCTCCCTTCTTTCTTTCCTTCCCTCCTTTTTTTCCCTCTTTCTTCCCTTCCTCTCTTCCTCCCTCTCTTCCTATATAATTTAGGGTTGCTCTTGCTGTGATCTGGGAGGACAGAGTTTCTGAGATAGTGGATGGACGAAGAGAGAACAGGGCTCTGAGAGGGCCACTCCCCACTTTGGCAGAGAAGAAGGGGGACAGAAAGGTTCTGATTCTGTTGTTCCTAATTGAAATGCCACATAGACAGACGGACAGATGAAGGAGCATGGTTAGTGTAAGGACAGCCTCTTATCCAATCTCAGGTGCTTTACTCCCTCAAACAAGGCCAGGAAGGATCTGAGCTTCTCACCCCAGCTGAGGTCAAAGATCGTACCCATCACAGTCCATCCATTAGATGAGTATAAGGATACAGCACCTTTTGAGGAGGAAGCACACATTTATAGCCTACCCCCAGCCTCCTTGGTTTAGAGTTCATGATTTTAGCTGCTGCTGGAACACTGGCTGTGTTCAATTGGCACGTCTCGTCAGGCTGGTGTGAAATGGCTGTTCCTTTCTCTGTATTTTCAAATCCACTATGACAAAACTTAGAACTCGGGAGCATCAGTTGAAAAGGAGACTCAGAGCCTGCTATTTCCAGAGCCCACAGGTCTCATGTTCCCTGGATGGAACATTCTAGAAACCTCCTATAGGGAGTGTCACTGTGGAAAACTGCCTCATCTTAAAATATTGAAGATCATTTCCTAGACTGGGAAGGGGTCTGTCTAAAAATAATGCAAGTTTGGGTTACATTGGTTAAATTAAAATGATCTCTGAAATCCTTCTCTTTGCGATTCCTTCTCGAAGCCTGTCCTCTCAATGTTTCTTTTCACAATTTCTCGTTTACCAGGACAACTGCACCACACCATGCTTCCAGGAGGGGCTGTCCCAGTTGACCAACAACACAGCGTACAGTGAATTCAGACTGAATTTTAATCGGGTGAAAAAAACAGTTGAAGACCTACAGAGGAAAAACTGCCAAGTGAGTTTATTTTTCTATGTGATTTGCTATGGTCAGTAATTTTCAAGTGAATGTTGCTGTCAATTCTATTTGACTGAGAAAGGATGATGAGGTTGGAATTGGTAGTTCAAGACCGATAAGGGATATCTAAGAAATTTAATCAGAATCAATAGAGTTAAAGTGAGATTTGCCCCCAGAGAGCCCATTATTCCCCCTGGTTTAAAAAGGCTTTTAAAAGTACGCTCACACCTATGTGGCCCTTGACTTCTCTCCACTTATTGAATAACGAACAAATTCACCCTAATTGTAATTAGAAGCTAACTTCTAGAGACTCCAGAGCTATAGCACCATAATACTAAATTATTCTAGAGATTCAATTTGCTTACCGAATGCATGTTGTGGCCTGTAAGTTAAAGAGGATCCTTTTCTGGTTGGCTAAGAAGGTGTCATACGTGGTGTTGCCATTAGTTGGAATCTACTCTACGGCAACTGGTCTTTAAGAAGGTGCGTAAAGAGATCACAGGTAGAAGCTTGCCACTTGCCCTAAATGCCCACCAGCACATCTCTTCTCCTCTTTATAGCAAGTATTGTATCAGCGCTGGCTCTGGTTGGAGGAGAAGGGGCCTGTTAACCTCTGCTCCCTTAAGCGCTGTATTAGCATCTGTGCATGAGACCAGCTCAACAGGCCTCAGCTGTTTAGCAGCGTGGAGAGTAGTGAACATCATCGTTATGGTATTTCTACCACAAATAACATTCAGTTCTAAGTGTTTTATATATATAGTGAAACCTGTGAGAGCTGCAATTCTACAGGACTGTCTTGTTTTTCTGGGTCTCGTAAGTTTTCTGCCATTGACAAGGTGCAGTCTTACCACTTTTCTGTCACTCCCTATTAATGGAAACTATTTGAGTTTTCTTTCTCTGGCAGGTTGCCGCCTCACACAGGTTCTGGCTTTCACAGATTTTACTGTACTGTTTCATTGAATACCTACCTTAGGGAACACTGCTAGGTTTATCATCCTCACTTTATAGAGGAGGAAATTGAGGCTCAGTGAGGTTAAATGATTTGCCTAAGGCCACATACTTAATAAGTGGCAGAGTTAAGGTTGGGCCTACATGACCCTAAAGTCCCCACTCTTAGCCATTATGCTATAGGTGACCTTGAAAGGGGAACCCAAAAAGGCAACGATACAATGTTAAGCTCCAAAACTTCCAAGGAAAGGTTTCCTCTAATGGAGAGATTTAGGACCACTTGACAGATGTCTAAGTGTGTGTGTGTGTGTGTGTGTGTGTGTGTGTGTGTGTACGAACAGACCCACAAAGTCAACCACCTACACTGTCTACATGAAATGCTAGCCCTGGACCTCCCCATCCGTTTGTTCTAAGTCTCTACCTCCCTACCTGTCCATTCCGTTCTCCACCAACACCCTCCACACCCTGCTGGGCTCTGGCCAGGGTGGTTCCTGGGGCTGCTGGGTTGAGTACTGCTGGGTTCAGTATTATTTTAGTCACTCTGTCCTTGTCAACTTTTATTCCCACAGACTTTTTCCTGTGAACAGCCATGCAACCAAACCACAACAGGCAACACGCTGACATTTCTGAAGCGTCTCCTGCATGCTTTCCAGAAAGAATCCAACAGAGGCACAGTATGAAGATGCAATATTATTTATTCTATTTATTGAATTGAAATGCCACCTCTTTAAGCTATTGCAATTTAAAAAAACAAAGGAAGCTACTCTAAATCAAAACCAATTGTAATAACTTGTTTAAAATTTTATGTTTTTATTTTGGAATAAATACATATGAGGAAAAAAAGAAAGAAAACTGATCTCTAGAAGCTTTTTCTTTTCTTACTGCCTAAGACAAAGAAAGCTACACACTGTGTCAATTGACATAATGGGTCAAAGATTTCTGTAATGATAATACATACAGATGTGAAGTCTCACGCAGCACAAGTTGTAGGGTTCACAGTTATGAAGGGTATATGCAGGGTCCTGGGTGGTGCAAACTTGGTTACTAACCGAACGGTTGGTGGTTTGAACCCATCCAGCAGCGCCATAGAAGAAAGGCCTGGTAATCTGCTTCCCTAAAGATTACAGCCAAGAAAATCCTGTGGAGTGCAGTTCTACTCTGAAGTACATGGGGGGTCACCATGAGTTAGAATCAACCAGACAGAAATGGGTTTGGTTTTGGTTGTGGGGCATCCTGAGGGCTGCAGCTAGGGGAGGCTATGAGCAGGTCTGAGGCCTTGCTGTCTGTGGGTGCTGGGGAGGGAGGCACTGGACTGCTGAGGGCTTGGAGTCCTGAGAAACCAGCCATGCACCTGACCTGGGAGCAAGCAGCACTTTGATAAATCCAGGAGGTGGGAGATTAGACTACTCAACAATGTGCCCATGTTCACAGTTAAGAGAGGAAAGTTCTTGAAGCTAAACCAGGAGCAGTGTCCTGGAATATACCCCTTGGGGTCACAGCACAAAGCAGAAAACACTGGGATCAAATACAGTCATCTATTCCCCTGACATGTTCCACAAGCACCCACACATGCCAGGTGTCAAGTGAGGGATACAACCTGAGGGATCCTTGAACTAGGCTGCCTGGTTGGCACTGTGTGACTGCAGCTATCCATCTCACCTTCACCTTGTAACCTGCCCCTCAGTACTCCTGGCTTCTTTCCCACAATACCTCTTACCTTGTAAGATTCTCTCTCATTTATTAACGTATCATGTTTGGTGTCTGTTTCCTCTTGCTCAAACGCCAGCTCCCCGAGGGCAGAGAATTTAGGCATCCTAAGTGCTTATACAGCACCTGGCTTTATAAACATGGAATGAATGAAGGCCTTTGAGATGCAAGAACAAAGTACAAATTAGTGTTTAGGTCAGGAATGTGCACCCCTGGAGAAGAGAGAGTGCCTAGAGCATACCACAGGCTCTCAGAAAAGAGAGGTTCTTACAAACACCTCAGGGCAGGCCTGGCCACTTGGGAAGGGGCAGACTTCCCACAACCACGCTGTTTGGCCTCCCTCTCTGTGTGATGCACAGGTGGAGGCAGGGTTGAGGTTCGTGTTGGGTGGTCTGACATCAGAATGGCCCTCTTCCACTACCTAAAGGCTTAGGGGCTTGGGAACAGTGTTTGCTGTTATAGGATAAGGTCTACTGAGGAGGAAGTTATTGGGGAGGAGTATTTCTTTTAGGCACTGTCAAAGTTAGAATTGCTTCCCTTGCCTGGTGGGCTAGGCTATACTTGGATACTTTTGATTACAATAATATGGAAAGTTCAGAGCTCAAAGACAGAGTCCCTCAAAGGGCTTTGCTCGGCTTTTATTTTCTCTCAGTTACAACATCAAGCAATATCTAGGTGTCACTTGCACTGCAAACAGTCCTTGGCCAAAGGTGGGATTCTCTGATGACCTAAATAGCCCTGGTCTCTGCAGGTGTGTGTCCCCTTAACGATGGGATGGGCACAAGTTTTGCCCACTGTCTGCAACCAAACCCCCTCCAGCATAGGGCTGATGGAGAAGATTTTGCAAAGGAGACTCAGGTCAGAGAGTGTTTTATTATCTTCTCTAGAGCAGAAACTGTGGGTCCACAATGAAATCCAATCAATTTTCTAAAGCGTTCGTTGGGACAGAACAGCAAGTTTCTCAGTTATTTATTTATAGAGACACACATATCAAAGAGCAACAAACTGGATTTCTAAGTTAAGAGGGTTTCAGAAAGGGATTCCAGGTGTTAACTTTGTACCCCCTCGGTGCTGAACGCCATCAAGCATTTTGGCATGGGACAGAGACTTAAGACAAATAGACAGTAGTCACAGTGTGCTGGCCCATCTGCTTCCCAAGAGAAACATAAAACATTATAAGGCGGTGATGGGTGGATGGGTGGGTGGGTGGCTGGGCAGGGGGAGCACAGGTTCAGCCAAGATTTTCTGAGCTTCTCCCATACAGTGGATTTTACGGATTGAATTGTGTTCCCCTCAAAATATGTATTGAAAGCCTAACCCCTATACCTGTGGATGAAATCCTTTTTGGAAATAGAATTCTCTTTGTTATGTTAATGACATCAGCATAGGGTGTGTCCTAAACCTAATCACTTCTGCGTTATAACAGAACAGGTTAGACAGAGACAAGCAAGCACAAACAGAGGAAGGGTAGATGTCACAAGAAGATGTATAGTAACTGAGGAATACCAGGGCTACAGAAGCTGAAAGAGAAGGATCTTCCCCCAGAACCAACAGAGAAAGAGACTTCCCCTATAGCCAGTGCCCTGAATTCAGACGTTTAGTCTCCTGAACTGTGAGAAAATAAATTCCTGTTCTTTAAAGCCACTCAGGAAATTTCTACTGCAGCAGCACTAGGAAACTAAGACAAGTGGAAATGAACTTCAGGTTCCAACTGAATATATATACTAATATATATATATATATATACTAATATATACACTGATATACATATACTAATAGTATATACTAATATATGTATACATGCATCATATACTAATATACATATATATACACTAATGTATATACTAATAGTATACACTAATATATATATACAAATATCATATACTAATATATATACTAATATATATACTAATATATATACTAATAGTATATACTAATATATGTATACAAATATCATATACTAATATATATATACACTAATATATAC